CATGGATTTTCTGTGGAACTCTTTAGTTGTCATCTCCAGTGACTGGTAGGATGGGTGGAAAACAGAACAATTTTTTCTCTTTTTCCTGTTGCTATTCAGGCAGAGAGGAAAGGAAACAATTGCATCCACTAAGCCTATGTACAAAAGCAAGCCATAGCTATCTGCACAAGCTAAGATTTACAGACACCAGGTTTTCTGTGATAGCTCCAGGTGTGGATACTTTTAATTCTCATTGACTTGGAAGTAGTGAAGTGGTAATGAGTGCCTCTGTGTGATCTGCTTATGTTTAGTAGAAGTGTCTTTATGAGCACTCTGTATGGAATAACAATTTGTCTGTGTGTTCTTGAAGCTACAGTACAGTAAATTTCCCACTGCATAGACTAGTCTTTGTGTTGAGTAATTTAAAGAAGGAAGGGAGAATAAACACACCCTATCATGTTAGCCAGCAGCTAGGGAATGAAAGTAGAAGGAAACCTTGGAATGTATAGTCCCAAAATAACTCTGTCCTGTCTCAGTAAGCTATGGGATAGCTGGGAACCTGTGACATTCTCCACATGTACTATTTTGACCACTGTTCATTGATCCCAACAATCTATTTTAATAATTAATGAAACACACTAATAACACATCCTCATTGAAACCTCTCAGAAAACAACTGGAAACTTTTTTGCCACACTGATTGTAATTCCGTTCTGTACTGGAGTTGCTCTTCAGCTACAAGACTTGAGTCCTTTTGGTTCTTTGAATGGTTCTGAAACAAGCTCAGAGGAAAGATGTTTCTTGTTTGCACAGAAACTTCACTGTTGTACAGAGCTCCTGTTTCTCAAAGGTCCTCCAAAGTAGTTCTTCATATCCAGTTTATGTGTGGTCTGATATTTATTAGAACTTTTAATTTCCAATTTTGTATTTTGAATAATTAAGAAGTACTAACCAAGTATAGAAAAATGTTACCAGTTGTTCTGTTGCCTGTTAGTCTGGTCTGTTTTAGTAAACAGCCTAAGGACTCTGTCTCGTGACTGGATTTGTCAAAATGTTCAGTCAGCAACTATCTTAAAACAGGAATTGCTATTAGGGAGGCTGTGAAATTTTCACTTGGACTGTTTGCTGCAATTAAATTCAAGAGAATGTACGTGCATTCTGTGTGTGTCTACTTCAATTATTGCTGAAAGCTAAGTATAACATTCCTAACTGTTGTGTATTTGCTTGCTTGCCCTAGTCTAAATGAAACCGAGGACACTGTATATAGTGAAGATGATGCAACAGCACTAGAGTCTGCCCAAGTTCAAATAGGACTCAGGTGAGCAACCAGCAAAGAGAATTTATCTGTTCCTATGTAAATAAATAGTGAACTTTCCTCATATTGTCCTCTCTTTAACAGATATGACCACGGCAATTCAAGTTTTGTGATAATCATAGTCCAGCTCAGAAATCTGCCAGTGTTTTCTGTTCCCCTTGGCTCTAAAGTGTAAGTAGTAATATGAGAATATAATAATAAATTGAACAAATTCTCCAAAGAAATTGATTGATTGGCTGCTTTACAACACTAAAATATGCATAAAACAAACTGTAGAAGTATGTAGCTTGTACGGATTCCGGCAAGAAAACAAAGTTATTAGGAAATTTGCACATTACACTAAAGTGGAATACTTAAAATTTGTGTTAAGGTCATTTTTTTGTTCAGTCAAGAATTTGTAGGTTTGTCACAGTAAAATGTGAGACACTGATGGACATATTCACCTTTTTTTCCTGTGCTAAAGTGAAAGTAAGCACTTTTGTTAAACAAAGCCAGTGAGCACTTTCTTTTTCTTCTCTTTTTACCCACCAGTCTGGCCTGATGCCAATAAGTAAGACTCCAATTAACCACCTTTTACATATATACATATTTATATAGATATACTATATCTATTATTCATACTTCTTTTCTAAACATTTCCTAACTATTGCTTTATCTGTTAAAATGGCTGTAAGTAGGCCGTGTAAGTTGTTCTCCTACATTATACGAACACCACAGCAGCATTACTGGGATTGCATTGCACTGCCACTTAACACTGGGATTGTTGTATCAGAAGACCGCATTTCTGTTCTCTTGTTTTTACTTGTTATCCCAAGAAGCCAAGTGTAATTGAGGAATAAAAACTGTGTCCAAATTCAGGTTTGGGAGAAATTTGATTTTATTAACCTAATTTCTTCTGGTTTATTTCATCTAAAAGTGAATTTTTAGTAATACTATCATTATGTATAAAATCACTACCATAAAATACAGTAATAACTACAAATCTGGGAAGAATAAGTTTTTTTCCAGAAAGTTTTTTTTTTTCCAGAATACTTTTCCTCTTGTTCTTCCCACTTTAGCTGGTTTCATTGCGTTCTGCTCTTTAGTATGTTTCAGTAATATGGAAAGCCAACACCAGAAATAAGTTAATGCATAGGCACAGACAAGATACAAAACAGTTAATGTGCTCTGCTCATGTGTTTGAGGCCCTCTGCACTAGGGAAATAGAGCTACAAATTACTTGAGGAATGTCTTTCATCCATTGAACTACTTGTAATGGGAGACCTGCAAGCTAGCTGCCTTTATTCACACACTATCCATTCATAGTTGTTAGATACAGAGAATGCAGCTGCATACTAGTAGGAAGATACTTCTGTACTTCTTCAAGCTTTCGAGCTGCATTCTTCTAAGTTTCACTTCATGTATTACATGCCTTAAGCAGCTATGGCTCTAGATATTTTCTTCCTCATTTTTCTTACTGTTCTGTTTTCTTTGGAGTTCTGTTTGGATTTTGAAAAAATTGAAAAACTTGCCACTGCTTTCAGTGCTGCTTGCACTGTTACGAGAGTTTAATTTTTACCTTTACCGGAATTTCTTCTCATTTATTTTTTAATTGACATTAAGGTTCTTTTTCCTCCTGTCTGTGACATGGTCTTCAGAGTGTGTTTGCAGTACCAAACCAGAGGATAAATAGAATAGAGGCAGAAACAGCTACCTCCTTTGCTACTACAGAGGCAGAAATTCATTTTGGGAAATGTTTGTGCAAGGAAAAGATGGAACTTTCTCAGCCCCTTCTCTCTTTTTCACCTTTTTTCCACTCCATTTCTGGTTTGTTGCTGTTTCATTTTCTCATCATGCAGTCCTTTAGACAATGGGGTTGATTTCTATCACTAATCATCAATAAGTGTTAGTTTAAATACAGGTAAAGATTTTCTTTTGTTTTTGACAGGTATATTAGAGTGGCAGTGCTTCCATCCTCAGCTGATACCAGCTGTCTGTTCCGCACAAAAGTTCATCCTGCCATGGAAACCATTTTACTCAACGAGATATTCAGAGTTGCCATTTCCCAAGGAACACTGCAACAGAAGACACTGAGAGTAGATGTTTGTGCAGTCAGTAGAAGCCGTCAGGAAGAATGCTTGGTATGCAGTTTTACTTCTGGCTTTTTTTTGGCATGCATCTGTTTGTAGTGTCCCCTTGTACTCTGATGCTCAAGGCTTCTGAAATTTCACAGTACTTGCTTCAGAATTTTTTCTCCATATATAGCTGTTGCTTTAATACTCTGGTTTTCTCTGAAATCCCAGATACCCAATTTTATCCTGGATGGATGTTTCAGGAGGTGGTTTGATAATTCTAGCACAGCATTACTGTAAGCTTTAATTATAGGCTGATACTGCAGCTCTGTCGTTTTTGATATTAAAATATTATAGACTTCATTGCAACATTACACCAACAGTAGATTCTAAAGTGAAAGCTGAGAGCCATAGTATGTCCAAATAAATCAACACTAACCCTCTTTATCAAAACTTGTCACAAATAGCAAACTAAGTTTAATTTTTGTACACTATTGTAGAATAAAAGTGCACCTTTTTCATTTTTATGATCTTTAGAAATAATAAAACAGCATGATATCCATGGACCGGCTTACTAGACAGGTTTTTTTGTACTCTACTGTTAATTGCTGTAATCACCTAATTAGTGACTTTTCATTTACTTTCAAATTGTTTTTGCACTGTCTTATGCAAATCAGCTTAGTTTTTCACCATAAGTCTGTTGTAGTAGAAAAGTAAGAGTTTGGGTTTAAATGCCCTGAAGAGATGCTAGAATTCTGATGGAGCTTTTTAGACCAGACTGCAGGAGTGGCCTCTCACTTTCAGAAATGTAGGAGTTCCTGGGCCATGTATTGTCCTTTCTCAGTGTGTCCGTGGACTGAATTCATCAGCATTACAGATGTGAAGAAAACCAGAAGTTTCCCCTTAGGTAAGGGAAGAGTCACAGAACAAAAATGCAATAGAATGGAGGATTCAAAGGTGAAGGAGAAAAAAGAAAAAAAGACATAAGGGTTAATCACAAGATCAGAAGAAAGAGTTGGGAATACCACCTCCGGCAGAAAGCCTGGACATCACAACCAGTCTTGGCAAGGGCTGCTCAGCTTGGTAGCCATGAGGGTAATTTGCTTTGCCAAGAATGGAGGATTTTAATCTCCAAAAAACAGTCCAAGCACACAAGTACTTTGTACATTTTGCCAGAGTGTTTGTCCAAATGAAAAGGCTTCTTAATCTCTTTTCATCTGCTTCTTCACTGGTTAAAACACACAAGTCATCCATTATTGTTTTCTGTATTGATGATCTTTGTCGTGGAACAACTGGAAAATTAACAGTAACTCGCTGCTCTATGGGTTGACACTGCAGGTTTCACTGGCACAAGCTTTTGTTATTGAAAGCTATAGAAAGCAAATGTGTGCATTACAGAGATAAAGAGGGATTTGTGTGATGCATGTGGGGAAAAATTCTGCAGCCTGAAATAGAATAAGGCAGATGGGACTTTATGATGGACCTTTCCAGGTACTACTACATTTCTACGTTTATTTTGATTAAGTAGCAGTGAAGGGAAACAGAAAATTGTACACTTAAAAAGAGAAGTAAGATCCACATCATATTTGTGCTGCTTACTTTACATGATAAATACTGCTGAACTTATTTTCAGCTGTCTTACCGGAAAAGAACTTCGGACTTTTTCCCTTTATTTTTGTACAGGCTGGAACTCAGATCAGTCTGGCAGATTTATCATTTTCTGATGAGACTTGTGCTTTGTGGTATAACCTTCTGTCTTGCAAGCAAATCCCTGGCAAAAAGAAAAAGGATCAGAATGAGGAACCCATGTTTCTTTTAAGCAAGCAGTCATCAGACTCGTTGGACTTGGTGAGTGAAGTATTTACTGTTACTGTAATAGCAAGAAAAAAACACAGGCCCTAATTGTGCCATGGCACTACAATTCTGTGTATATTGTCCTCCCCTGAAGTGTCTTGCAGGCACTTCTGTTTATAGTCTGTTTGTGTGAGTAGCTCCCATAATGGGTTACAAACTTGTTGCTAAGTGTGGGTAGGACCGAAGCTTCTTAGTGGATTACAAAATTGCACTCTAATTCAAAACATTTCTGCTGTTTAATTTTAAAAATAAACGTTACCTAACGGCTTTGTTAAGATTACCATTGACTTTCATGTGCATGTACTAAAAATGCTATTTATTATTTGAATTTGCATACTTAAAAAAGTAATTTCACAGAAAATGCTGTTTATGCAGAACACATGCTAATTCCTTTAGTTAAATAAACTTTTCTGCTTTAATACTTCCTAGAAAGAACAGCACTAAAATATGACTTTTAAGAAGAGCCTGTTTTAGCAAGGGATATTACAAGCATGAGAGGAAAAGAGAGAGGAGTTATTATAGGATGACAGGAACATATTTGATTGCATTATCATTATACAAACAGTCTGTTTTTGGTTGAGATTCATCCATTAATGCTCTACATGCTAACAATTCAAACTCACTATTTGTGGTCTAGGTCAATTTTTGCTGGTACCAGGGAGCACCAGGGTAATAGAGCTCTTGTAAGGGGGTCTTTTTTCCTTTTTTTTTCTTTTTTCTTAAACCTGGATTATGTATCACTCAGTTCTGGTTTTGCCTTCTCCTTCCCTGTAAGCAGGATGCTGTGTCTGCTCTGCTGGAGAGAACATCCGCTGAGCTGGAAGCAGTAGAACAAGAGCTGGCTGAAGATGAGGAGGAAGAGTATGAACAGGAGGAAAGGGGCTCTGAGGAAGACTGGTAGAGCCATTTTTTCTTGACTCTTTATGTCTGAATGATTCTGTTCCTCCCTCTTATTCACAGATAATGAGAGAGCAGTGTGGGGATGGGATTCTCGTTCCCTTGTGTGGTTAATTCTTTACATTCTCTTAGGTTTACAATGTCTTGGCTGCCCTATTAGTTGCCAGTTCTTATGCTCCTCCATATACTTCGTTCCGTGAAACCACTTGGGGTGTCTAAGCCACTGGAGGTCTACTAGGATTCTTTTATCTAGCTGCATTAATAAGTGACTAATAGGATCTGAGTGGAGCTCTTCTGTCTAACAAAGTCAGTGTGTAGGTGCTTCCACTGATTATCTTGTTTTTGAAGAAGCTGTGAACTTTCCTTAAAAGGATTTCTTGCTAAATCGCTGAGTCCTGTTCCAGTGCAATTTTTTAGCTTTATTGTTGGGGAAAGAGGGACTTGTTTTGTGAATTTATTACAACCAAAGTCCTTCAGTGCTAACAGCATAGAGCTATACAATATAGTGCAGTGTAATCGTCGTGATCCTGAAGGGGAACTGTAGTAGACCTTGCAGGGTTTTATTGGAGCATATGATGAAGTGTGCCTTCACATGAACTTAACAGAAACATTTCAGTTATAGATAATCGTTTCCCCATTAGGAAAATGCATATGTTATACATGAGTGAAAGCCGAGGCCTTCCACTATCTTTCTGTGGTGGGCTTTATCAGCTCAAGAGTAAGCCTGGGCTACTTTTGTTCATGCAGGTTAGAAATGCTTGCAGAAGCATCTGATGAAATTGGGGATGAAGAGGAAGATGGCATTAAGCTGGCAGTACAAGGCAACTGTACCGATGACACGGAGTTATTCGTTGATGCAGGAGAAACTGAGGAAGATGAGAACAGACAGAACAGAGATGAGCCCCATGAAAGCCAGCAAGCTGCCGTCATACTAACACTGGTGAGCATTCCTGTGGTATCTTACTGGGTCTGAAGACCCGTTTCTGGGTAGTTAATCGAGGAATCTGTCACATCCAAACATTCACAATTTGATGTGGCATTTGCTGTAGCACTTGTATGAACTTTTAGCAAAATTGGCATAGTCACTTTTGAGCTGTGCAGAAGGCATTTAACAGGCATGCTACACAGATCTTGTAAGTCAAAGACAATTAATTAAAAATGTCAGTCTTCACCTTTTTTTTGTTGCGCGAGGAGACTATGCAAGGTGCAGGAGCAGTTCGATAGTTTCAATCTGTGCATACTTAAAATATTTCTGCACATCTGTTTCATTGCTGCCAATTTTTTTTTTTATTTATCTGTTGTTTCCCTTCTAATAAACAGAGGCAGAAACAGAACAGGGATCAAGATCTTTAGAGCAATGAGGGAATTTCCTTATTTCTATTTCTGCGAAATACAAAATCTGGCTTAGCAGAGGAAGGAAGATTAATTAACAGAAGGCTCCAAAATATGTATTAAACTGCATACTGTTGAACTACCCGCACACTATACATGATGCCTCCATTGGCATATTCTTGTTAACTGTTTGCCTATAACTATATTCTACCTTTCGGAGAGGACTTTTAGAAAATATTTCATACAGATGTGCCCGATACGATAGCACATAATCCAGAAATTAAACTTTTAGAACATATTTCTGCATCTTAATGTTGCCTACATTAGTCCTATGGGTTCTATAAAACAGCAAAGATAAAAAGACAAGAATGACAGCTTGTTCCTTCAAGTTTGTAACTATACAAAAGTTTGACACCTCAGTGGACTCGCTGGAAACTGTAATTAACTTCCAATTAATGTGGAAAGATGCCAAATGAGCCAAGGCCATGGTATAAAAGGACTGACAGTCTTCTGGGTAGCAGACAAATATAGATCAAAGCTCTAACTCAGCAAGGGGAGACGTCAAGGAGAACGTCTGAAGGTTAGACATGCACATAAGTCTTTTGCAGTGCCAGGGCTGGGTGGACCTGGACAGTAAAGGAAAGACACTGCAGACCTGATTATAAACAAGCCACAGTATAGATCATCTTGTGCCAGATCCTCTCAGGGTTGCAGTTGTGCTATTTAGGTCCTTGTATTTATCACCTGCGCATTCAAAACCGTGAACTTCATTAAATTACCCCAGTTGAAGAAAATGCCCCAGTGCACATCAGTAACACCACATGTGCCAGCTGCTGCAGTGCTCGTTCTGTCCCTGCTGTCAAGATGATTGCTGCATGTAAGTACAGCCGGCGCCTCCTACAGGGATGTCAGCACCTGAGGCTCCTCATGACATGTGAGGGACAACAGCAGCCCCTTCTAGGGGCAGGATCTAGCAGTGGCCTCTCCTGATTTCACATGGCTGGTGCAGCTCTGCACATTGCCATGAGGCACTGCTCTGTTGGATGTATGGAAGAACCCATCACAGCTGCTGCTCTGTGTGCATAGGCACCATCTCAAGCATGGCCAAACCTTGGTGTTCTACAAATGCAGAACAAATCCAGTATAAATACAAATGCATGATAACTATCTCTGCAAATGGCAAATCAAAATGCTTATTCTACCCTGGTTGGATCAGAAAATCTGCAGGGCAGCAAAGGCAGAAGCTATGGTTCTAGAGGAGAGAGAGTTACTTTCAAAGGCTGCCCAGACTCTCCTAAGTATTTGGAGAGTTCTGTGCTTCCTTGCTTGGTGTAGCATGGTGAGCAAGATGATTTTATGCTACTGATCTTTTTCTGTCCCCTCCAAGGTGACAAGAATGCTTGTAAAATTCAAAGACAAAAAACCTATATAGTGGCACGTGTCTGGGCGTAATAGTTCTTACAAACTGAATTCCTTTTGATAGGTTGATAAAGAGACTAACACTGAGGAATCAGTTAACGAGAATGCAACAGTCCGACCCAAGGACAGAGCCAGCTGGAGCTCAAGACAGCGTCCCTTTGTCAGGAACAGCATGATTGTGCGCTCACAAACCTTCTCGCCAGGCGAGCGGAACCAATACATCTGTAGGGTAAGAGGAAAAACACTTGGCATGAAGAGCTATTAACTAAAGAGTCATTTAACTTCTTGGGAATGATGCATTAATGACAGTGAGTCATGCACCAATTTTCCCTGCAAGAGGCAGAGCCTGTGCTTTCTCTGTGCTCCTTCTTTCCCTAACTGACCTGGTGTGTAGTAGAATTGGCTTTCAGCAAAGTTGCACACTCTTGTAAAACACCTTTATGAGAACAAAAATGCATCCTGTTGGATAAAAGTAACAGATTCCTGTGCTGGCTTCCTGCAGTAAATGTTTCACTGCATGGAAGCAACTATAGCTCTCACACAGCAAAATAATTTGTTAAAACAGAATGGAGTTCTCTGTAATCTGCCATTACATGAACATATTTTAATAATACAACCATCTAAAGGTAACCGTGTGGAAAGAGCTCAGTCACCAGTAGTAAATCTCACTTTGTTTCTTAACTGGTTTTAAACCTGGACAGCCCAAGTCTTGCTGTAATCACCTCTTAGAAAAATGTGTGAGTGCAGCCTAGGGGCTAATTTTAAACATAGCTTTGGCAACGAAATTCTCCAGTCTCTACAGATAGTAGTGTGGAAACTAAATAAATAAATTTAAATTATCAACTCTGTTGCTGCTAAACTAATGGTGAAAATCACGTGTTTAGAGATTTAGGTATGGACAGCCAGCTCTGAATTGTAATTTACTCACATAAATGACTTCTTTAAATACTTCATGCTTTAATTCTTTTCCAGTACAATTAGAGGAGGTTCTTTATAATTTGGAAATACTAAAATTGGTCAATTCTCTGTGATGATCATTGGCCTAAAAAAAGCTGTAGTCAATATGTAAATACATAAGTATTCCTATATGTGAATGAAGTGTAGTATTGTAACAATCTTTATGTAGTTTGGATAGATCCCTGTCTGAATTGAGAACCTAATCTTCAGTTTAATTCCTGTACACTGGAAACTGGTTGTATTGAGAGGGGAAGTAGCCTTAACTTCTGCCTGTGGGTTTTCTACAGGCAGTAGCACTAGATGTTCTGATGG